TATTACTCCTTTACTTATGCTGTCAGTTTATTGCCTTTCTTTTGCTCAATTTAGGCTGAGCAGGGTGTTCAGTTTCACTTTGATTTTTCCTATACCAGTAAAATGTGGGTGTTCTAAATTTCAGCATTACAGCAGACCAAAGTGTTAGGGGAGATGCATAATTGGAAGGAACAAAGACTTGCACTGGATTTTGTTGCATTAAATAAGCACGTCTTTAAAGTGAAATGGAGTACTTAAAGAGTTTGCCTCATGCACAATTTATAAAGTATCATTTTTTTTTCTTAGTGGAATGTATCTAAGAGGCTGGTGTGGTGGCAGAATAGTTTTAAGTTCTTTATTAGGAAGCTTTGGGCAGCATTGCCCAGCAGAGAGAGCCCTTTACAGATTTTGAATTTGCAAGAGAGAGTGTATAGATGAAAGTAGGGGAAATACAGTTAGGAATCGATCATTTTCAGCTGCTCTATGCTGGAGTCCTCTACTGGAAGTATCCAGTCAAAGCAGATCCTGCTGGTGAGCTCAAGTTTCCTGAGGAGCTGTTCCCATATGTTCAAAAAACAAGATATTTAACTCGGTTTGTGTTTAACTAGGTTCCAGATTTTTCTTTCTTTTTTCTTTTTTTTTTTTTTGGAAGACAGTGTAGCAGATGCTCTAAATCTAGTTAGGAACTGGGTAAATGTAAAGGTAATGTTTTTCATTACGTACTGTATTCTTGTGTCCGGGGTTAGTAACTGAAGAGAAACCCACAATAGGTCCTGAGTTCACTTGTGCAGAGTCGTGTTGGTTGGTGGTGGTTGAGGGGATTTGGTTGGTTGGTTTGGGGTTTTTTATGATCTTTGTCTTTTAATAATGAACTTTTCAGCATGGATGATTTAGTGTGGAAAGGTGAGGAAGCACCTTGAACACTCGAAGTTAAGAATTACTAGAATTACCAGTCCCAGGCTCCCCAGGCATGCTGCATGTGAAGCACCTACCTTTTTTTCCCAACTACTCTTTCCCCAGACATACCCATGTCATCTTTTTCCCAACCATGCCATTTACTCTCATCCCAAAGGTACTGCCTTGCTGGAAGATGCGGCTGCAGCTTGGTGCATTGAGATGCGGCTGCAGCCTGGTGCACTTTGCACGAGGAGGGCGATGTTTGCACCTCCTTTCTCAACTCCAGCTCTCCTCCTGCGGGTTGGCTTGGTAGGCAGGCAGAGAGCAGTGATGCCGGGCGTGCTTGGCTCTGCCCAGGGCACGTGTTGGGCCTTGCAGAGCTGGGAGCATTCCCGTGCTGCTCACCCTGCCCTGCTCCAGGCACAGTGAGGAGCGAAGTGCTGGAGAACAGGACGGCTTTTCCAGCTGCTTGCTGGCTAGCCGTGTTTACTGCTTGGAAAGAGCTGAGAACGTTTTCTAAACCCAAATTTAGTTGCTTTGGCAAAGCTGTGCTGGCAGCCCTGGCTGCAACATACAGATCTTTCTCATTTGTTATTTTATCTTGTGGATCACATTAAAAATAAATGAGAAATAAGTTTCATTCCCTGTGTGTACCAAGCAAGGGAAAATTAGGTGCCCCAGTTATGTCCATTGTGCAGAATGTGCTGCATGGGGCAGGGCAAACTTGTGCAGTTCAGTGAAGGATTTAATTCTCTGAGAAACTAAAAAAAACCAACAACAATAAATAAATAAAACCCCTAAACGTTTAATTTTATGAGAAACTAGTCTTTGAGAGACTAAGACTGCAGCTTTTAAAATGCAGTGATTTGTGTTTGCTGGTAAATTTAATACAATAACACATAAATGAAGAGGTTACTGGTACTTGCCATTTTGGGGAGAATTAGGAATTTTAATGGTAACTGCAAATATGCTCTTGCTCTTAGGATATAAATGTATTTCCAAAGTGGTTAGTGCTTGTATGTGTGTGCTTTTTATTTTTTTTTTTCCTTTCTTCTTTTTAGGAACAAGTTCTCACAGTTGTGATGAGTGTACAAGGATAGTGGTGTGTCTACAGAAATGAGAAAAAATAGTGACTGTAAGTGGCCCTGTTGTCACTCCTGCAGCTGGTCTTCCTTGGGACTACATTGCGTATTTAGGGGGCAAAAATAGTGGGAACTCGTTAGCGAAGGAGAAATGTATGGTTTAAGTAGGCCTTTCCCTCTTTCGGAGGGGCAGGTGATTCTTCTGAGCGGCTGGTAAAGCTCTGCCCTTTCCAGCCCATGTTAGAAGGGTCGCTGAAGAAAAGCTGGAGGTGAAGCCAGCGGGTATTTTGGATAGAGCCCCTCTCTGCTAACTCTGGCACATGGAATAGCTGAGTTCTCCATGGCTCTCGTCTTGTTGCCCTGCCAGTGATGACATCCGCGTGGGGTGAAGAAGAGTCACTTCACTGGAGAGCTGGAACCAGCTGCCTTGCAGGCTCGTGACGGGGATGGTGGCACTTAGAAATTCTTACCCAACGCTGATACCCAATATTAGCCGTAAAATAGGTTCGGAAACAAGTCTCAAGTCTTGAAAAGAAAAGCCCTACATAACTGTTGGCTGTAGGTGGCTGAACAGTGAGGTTGGCCTGAAAAGTTTGCACAAAGGGTTGTCTAACCCAACATTCTAGTGCCATCTTCATAATTACTATATCAGTTAACATATGCGTAGTTGAAAACAGTAATTTTGGTGGAAGTCTCCATAGTTTACTTTTCCTCCTAGTTTTCTCCCAGTTTGAGCAGTTTGAGAAGATTGGTTTTTTCCCTCAATTCGTTGGTGAGTTAGGCTTATTTTTTTAATCTAAAAAAAATTGCAGCTACTTTTATTTGCGTTTCCAGAGAGTTGAGTTTTATGTTGAAAGCCTTTTAGAGAATGCGAAGCTCGAATGCATTCCATCCTCAAGTGCCTGGGAATGTCGCTGCTATGGATAGAGTGCAAATGTTGTGGATAAAGAATGACTTGGCCTTTAAAAAGGTACTTTGGAAAGAGAGAGAAAGGGGGGCTTTCCTCGTGTATATGCATATAAATGAAGAAAGTGTTTGGGGTTATATGTACACATGTGTTTCTTTGTATTTTTTATATACACATGCCTCCCAGAAAGGGTTGTAAAGTTAGGAATAATCCTAGTAAGTAGTATTTGATTACATAGAGCTTTCTTGATAAAGCAAAGCAGTAATACCTTGATAAGATTTTCTTGTTCTTCATGGGTAAAGATGTGTTGTGTTGTCTTCTGCTTATAGACTAGCTTTGTACTTGGGCGTTTTCTTGGTGTTTGTGGGTATTGCCACCTATTGGTATGTAACTTATTTTTAAACCATACATGTGCTACTGTGTTGCATTAAAGAGATTAATTTGACTCTGGATAAATAATCTCTAATTCCAGAGAACTCTTAGAGCAATACCTGACATACTGATGTGGGGACTGAGAACATGACTTTTCTTCACTGTTATAGATTTTTTTCATCTGTAAACTTATTTATTTTTCCTCTGTCTTATTTATATGATGTGAACAGTCTGTCTCTGTCAAGTGATGCGCCCTTAAATGGCTATTGCCCTGTATTAAATTACTTGCAAGCGTTTGGTCTCTGTCTCTAAATCAGTTAACCTGTTGGTCTTTGTTCCCATACTAATCATATTTCTTAATGGATTTTCGGGTATTTGGAAGAGGTGCAGTCATTTGTCTAAACAAATTATTCTGAAAGCTAACCTAGTTATTTGAGTTAAATATCAGCATACAGCAAATTATTCATATTACAGAATTTAAATCCAGATTTGAGCCAAAGACATTAAGAATGTGATCTACTGCTAGAATTGGTTTTAGAAACCAACTGCATTAAGGATAGATTGCTGATTTGTGGCATTTTGTGCTGTAATTCTGCCAAACCAGTCAATATATCCTTATATTTCCAAACATGTTGTGCGTATGTGCTTTATTGTCATGATTTATACAATAAAATGTTGTGATTACTCCTAAAAAAAATGCTGCATGTCTTTCTCTGATTTCCTAATCTAGAAATTGTAATTGACTCCTATTGCAGCAGCAGTAAATGAGTTCTTTCATAGCTTGAACTTTCCAGTCAGACGGGCCTGTCGACTAAATGTGATGTTACTAAACTCTGCTGCTGCTCTTAGTTTCCAAGTCTGAGTTTCCTGTAGACTGACAGGCTGCAATTTGGAAATGCTAGAACAGCAGAAATTGCTATAAGCTGGCAGCCCAACACTGCAGTGTATTAACACAGTACTTAATAGAATTTTCCAACTGAAAGAGAAAGGAAAAAGACGAAAAAGCCTTGTTTTCAAATATTTTTTTTTTACAAGAGCTTGAGCTCTGCGTAGAGAGAAGAAAAGATGTGATGCTTGAGGTATAAATGCAATGTATGCTACAGGGGCATAGGCAGTTGAAGAAATGAGATGGGGTAATACAGGACAGTCCTGTACTGTTGTCTGTGCTTCTTTCCTCCGAATTGATTTCTCTGATGTTAATGCAGCACTTTTTTTTCGCTCAAATAACTGTGTTTTAAAAATAAATATATGCAGTATTACCGTACTAAGAATCAGATGCGTTTTTGATCTTCCAGGCTTATTTGATATCTAGATAAGATTTTCATTTTTGATTATGTCTATCTCAGAATGTGCATAACTTATCCAGATGACTCTGTGTATTGCCTCGTAATTCTTATTGACTATGATTATAAAAAAAAAAAAAGAAAAAAGTCAAAGCACAAGCTCTTCTGTCAGGGTAATTCTTTCATCTAGTTGTTAGATTTCTTTTTTCTCCTTGTGCAGTAATGTGGTAACAGATAACGAGCTAGCAGTGATGTGAACATCAGTCTCTGAATATTTGAGTTAGATGCACAAGGCCCAGTTTTGCTATGTGGATTTCTTCTAAAAGATTTTTTTCTGAACAAGACTGACTGCAGATTCTCCCAGGCTATTACATAGCCTGTCTCTTGATGAAAATAGGTAAAAATTAAACTCTCCTACTGCTCGTGTTTCACCATTAACTCTTTGGTTTTTGTTATTGTGATCTTGTCCTATTTTCAGGAAGTCTGGGAGCTGGCAGGAGGGGAATGAACCGTGAGGGCGTCCCCGGCAAGAGTCCGGAGGAGATGTATATCCAGCAGAAAGTGAGAGTCCTGCTCATGCTGAGGAAGATGGGATCAAATGTAAGATGTGCTGTCAAAACCCTTATTTTGTGGCTTTCTGGACATACTGTTGTAGTAGTTGAAATAGTGATTACTGAGGTGGGCAGGTGATGGTTTGGTTTTATTGCCAAACTATTTTAGCCATCATTGAGTTAGCCATTATCTGTGCTCAGATATATAAAGCTTGTGATGCCTGAAACAAAATCTGAACATCTGATGATTCTTTTACGTGCAGCAGAGTTGTTCATTTTACCAAACCCATGCAGCAAGTGTTTTATGGTGACTTTGATTCTCTCCATAAGTATGTTACACTAGTAGCAAGCTGATACCTAATTGGTATAAACAACGATTAGCTTAAACTGTTAAAGAGTAGAAACAGAAATAACTGACATTTATTATTACCAAGTCAGAAGTTATATGCTCAGTCTTTCTTCCTTTTCCTTTTTGTTGCCTGACTCTCCGTGCGTTCCCAGCTGACTGCTAGTGAGGAGGAGTTCTTGCGCACGTATGCAGGGGTAGTGAACAGCCAACTTAGCCAGCTTCCTCAACACTCAATTGAGCAGGGTGAGTACTGGGCACGGAGGGAAAGGGATGGTGGTTGTAACTGTTGGAAGAAGCCTCTGTCTGTTTTTACATATATATTTATATATATATGTACACGCACACACGCAGAGTTATATTTGCCCTGCTTTTATTTAATCTTGGAGAAGAGTCTCAATAAACACCAAATGTAGGCATCTACATTCATGTAATAATATGCTACCTTTTAAAAATGTCCTGAAATCTATTGCATGTGCAATTAATTTCCTTCTGCAATATGTGCAGAACTACCATGTACTGTTCAACAGGTGGTTTTATGTTAATGGATAAAGGCTGCCTTGTGTATACCAAGCATTCCTTAGGATGAACAGCATTATGTTAAACATCCTATTCTCCCTGATAATGCAAAACACTGACAGCCAAATCTTGTGAGTTGAATGCATTTACATAGCTTCCCACTGAATTTAGTGCATTAGATGTGAATAAATTGTAAACTAATTTTTGTTAGAGGCGTAGATAAACTCAAGCCTGCATGAATTCCTACAATTCAGAGTGTGCCTTACTGGGAGCATGTACTGGGTACAGAAGGCAGGTCTTCTGCATTGGATAACTTCCTGAATTTTTGATATTTTATTCTTAAACTGGAGAACTATGCTTAGGAACAAAATTGAGATAGCTACTTAGGATTTCATGATCAAATGGCTAAATATATTATATATACACATAGTAGTTCAGCAGTAGAAGTTTCTATCTTATACTAAAATAATACAGTGTTTCCATAACAAGCTTTGAGATATGGTACATTGGGACATAACTGCTGCAGTAAAAATTCCATGTTTGTTAAATTATGAAATACTTATTGTGCCAGTTTATTTAGTCAGGTACTGTATGATTTATTTATTTTTAATATTCACATTAAGGAGGTGATGTATTGCTTTAGTGAATCCTTTGCCAGAAGTCTTGGAAAACACTTGTGTGGTGCTGTTCCAGATCTATAATTCTGTTTTAAACATAAATTATTCTTTGTGAATTTTTTTTCTTGTCTATTCCTATGCCAGATCACATTCATACTTTAGGATTTGCATTTGAAGGAAAACTTAGTCTTACATGCTGGAAAGAACTGACTTGTGCAGAAATTTAATATAGATCCAAGTCATTTAGAAAACCATTAGAAACAGCCTGCACAAACTTGCTCTTCAGTTTTAAGCTTGTGTGCTCATTCTTCACGTAGCTGGAGGGATTGATGGCGATAAATGTGCTTGTGTATTTTTGGCTCAGAATTCTTAAACTCGTCTGCTGATCCAAAATAAAAATATGTCTGTTTCTCTTCTAAACCAGAGGACAATATATTGAAGCAAGAAAGACTGACTGCCTTAGTTATCAGACAGCTGTGGTGCTGTCTTAAATAGTTATCTCTAAATTGGTTGCATTTCTAATAATAAGAATGCATGCTAAATTATCTGGATTTTGGCAGACAACAAATAATGAAAACACAAGACCAGACAGGGTATATGGATGTTTATAGCCATTCCATTACACATTTTAATCTTTGTTGCCTAAATTGTCTGGTTTAATTATATGCAGAATTAGGAAACTGTTTTCTAACTTCATGGAGGGCTGTGGAGATTCTAACACTGGTGGAGCACTTTGAAATTCCTGCCTTAACACTGTTAAGGAAGAGCAAAATGCTGCATTTCTGGCTTTTTTGAATCTATCAAACTGAGATTAAGAAATAAGAACTCCCCTGAGGATGTTCTTCTGGAAGATTAAGACCAAAAAATTGTGACTAAAATAAATAAATCTAGCATAATTTTTCCATAAGCATAACTCTTTCCATAATCAAAGAGAGACCAACAGTTATCTGGTCTGCTTCTAAACTTGCTGGTTATAACACTGGAAAAATAAGAGTTTCGTATGTTGTTCAAAAAATTATATTCTTGGCTCATATTTTGACAAATAAAAACTGATTCTCAGGAATCATTTTCTTAAAATTCTTGAAGTTTCTTGTGACCTTTTCTATAAGGGATGAAGTCCTCCCTGTTGATACTGACGTGTGTATAATCATGATAAACATTGTTGAATGGGAGATTCGACTCTGGTATCCATCTTCAGCCTTTGCAAATTATAATTAAACTGGTAACCTAGCTGTTAGGTTTTTTCTTGCTGCAGAAAAAAATAGAAGAAAGATAATGCTCAAATATCTTTAAAAAAATAAAAGGATGTTGGTCCTTTTCATATTCAGATATACCAGCTTACTAAATCAAGTTGTGCATTGGATGAAGAACAAATTAAAATGCAGAAATGTAGCCAAATATAATTTCTTCTGGAGAAGGATGGAACTGTAATGTGCTGCAAAGGCATGAGCCACTATAATTAGTTTAAGACTCATTCCTGGAAGATTTCATTTTTAAGCTATGTTTGTGTTGCTCTTTGCTTCTTTTCTTCTGTGGTACTTTCTGATGCTGGAAGGTGAGTGTAGTGGATCATGCAGCAGCAGCCGTCCCCAGTTATCAGTCTCCTTCACTATATGTAATGTCGGTGAAGCAGGAGGGGTTGATTACCGACGTATAAAATTCATCAGGTGCCGAATTTGCCATCCCGAGGGAGATTCCATCTCCACTAGATGGCATCATGTTGCACTGAAAAACCCTGTTCCGAGTCCACACACGAAGGTACTTAATTTTTTTTTTGTTTTTCAAGGTTGCTTAAAGGGATTTTCTTTCCTGTTTTCTGGTGTGTGTGTGTTTTGTTGTTTGTTTGTTGCTTTTTTTGTGATTATACAACTTGCCTTCAGAGCTACTGAAAGGATTCATTTACAAAGGCTTAAGAGGTTAGTGGATTACAAAATCAATCTTTTTTTTTTTTTCTTTTTCTTTTCAATAGGGGGAATTAATTTATAAAGACATTTTTGGCACTAGCAGTCCAGATGCTTTGCTATAGACCTGCAAGCTGGTCTCTATCACCTGAGAATAATGTAGCTCCACACTGGTTGGAAGCTTTGTGTTAAAGAAATAGAGAATATATCTAGATACTAGAATGTATCTAGTGGCTATATGTGGATTCACAGTTGGAACATATGTTAAAGCAACATATTTATTTAAGGGATCTTAGAATCATAGAATGCCGAAGGTTGGAAGGGACCTCAGAGGTATTCGGCATCTTGAATGATAAGATGTTTTCTAGCCCCACACCTTCTCCCCACCACCACCATTCCAGCTCCATTTGCCTTTTCAGTGTATTCCAGAATCTTAGGAAGAACTTAGTCCTACGTGCACTGACTTTGATATACCCTGTGTAGGTGCCGTTTCCTGAACGGGGACTGCAGGCCGCCAGCAGCAAGGAATGCTAAGACAGTTCAGATGTCCAGCTTCTGTTCACAGCTTGGTATTTTGGCTGTATTTATTAATACCTGCTCTGCTCACCCACTTGGTTTTTACTGTAATCTGTCCGGGCAGACATGATGCACTCGTGAGAGCTGAGGCTCACCTGATGCATTGAAAATACTTTATGTTTTGAAAGGGGTGCTGCTGACAGAGGTGAAATCTCAGTAATCCAGGAAAGCCTAAACAACAGTTTTAAATCTCTAGATTTAAGTATTCATTATCTAAGAGACTAAATTAAAGTTTTGCTGTTCCTTTTTATTTTTTTATCATTGCTTTTATGTTTGATTATTTTTGTTCTTTATGGCTTCAAGAATATCTGAGAGACACCTCTGTTGAACCACTGCGTATGGTGGAGGCTGGTTGTGAGCGTGAGCTGTTTTGAGGTATTACATGTTAGTCCTCTTCCCTGCATTGCAGCAAGAACTAAAGCAGCTTGGGCTCATTAAGTTTCTTCAGACTGAACTAATGAAATTAAAGCTTCCTTGCAAATTTAGATCACAGGCCAAATGTTCCGTAGCAATTTGTGCGCACAGAAATACCTTCCGCATAGAAATGTAGAGTACCTGGTTTTAAATGATAGGTTAGTGTTTGGCTGCTCCATGGTGAATCTGAAAATGGAAGCTCTGCAGCTAGGAAGCCTGATACGTGAATTATGCTAAGACCTTGGTGATTACAGCTCGGTGTTCCTATAGCAACAGGAGTGTCGTGCTGGTTCTCGAGAAGCTGCCTCCTTGGGGAGGACAGAGCCGAGAGGCAAACGTGCGTCTCGGCTAGGTTAGACATTCTGCGGATGGGAGGTATGAAAAATGAGAACCGGCTGCTTGGAGTGTGAATGAAGAGGGGGAACGTAGCCGTGGAATATCTGCTGGTGGTGGAGAATTGGAAGTGCTGGAGCTCTTCCCCGTGTGCTGCTTTCGAACACAGAGCTTATCTTCACGTGTTCCTGCTCTCTGCAGCGCGTGCTGTATTGTTAGAACGTCAGACTATTCCGAATTTCAGAGAAGAATTAACGTTTTGGAGATAGTGTTTGGAAGGTGGATAAAGAAGCGTGCCTATAAAAATGTTGAGTAAAGGGAACTTTAGTGTTTCAGCTCAGCATCCTTCAGGCGTACTCATGGCACATTTAACCCTCCCAGCTCTCCCCAGAAGCTTTTGGGATCTGTTAGTTTTGCAGGTGACTGCGAGGACATGAGCTGTGTAAAGCCACTTGTCTTTCAGGGGACATCTGGAAATAGCCATTAGATGTTGTAGTTAACATCTTGCCTTGTGTTAAGGTAGTGGTTTTAAGGCCAAGTGGTGTAAAAGTATAAAAGAAGTACTAAATTCTGCAATGCAGACAACACTGATTGCCACATAATTGCAGCAGGGCTCTCCTTTGGTTCGGGTTTTTTTGGAAGGTGAATGGACTGAGACTGTCTCTGTTGCTTTTTTTAAGGGAGGGCACAGCCCTACCAGTGAAATTGTGTTAACTTACCCGAGATGAAAGAGCGGGAAAGTGTGAGGCAGAAGAAAGGGGAGATGTATTTGCATGTCTGAGGCTTCAAGAACAATTATGGAAATGATTGCTTTGCTCAAGAGGGAAGATGGGGAATATTTTGTTGGATATATGCAAATCTTTATTTTGGTGTAGAAATGTGCCCA